ACATCGCTTCTTGGAAACAAGTCGAGGTGTCGATCTCGATTCCAAAACGATCTGCACGAAGCTGCATGCGCTCAATCATATTTCCCGCATCATCAAAGCATTTTCGTCTCTTCAATTTTCACTGCGATTTTTTTTTTTAACAACACTTCCTAGACTCATACTTCTTTCACGTATATATATATATGGAGAACAAAGATTCCGTGTTCGGTAAAAATGGCAAGGATCCTCGATCCCACGACGAAAGGACGCAAAGGTTTTTCCCGATCGAGTTTTCTCTGAGGTAAAATCAATTAACGAGTGGCTCGAAATGGACTGTTCCGCTTCTCGATTACGACTCAATTAATCCTCGAACAATGGATAATTTTATGCTCGCAGGCGCGACGTCTTTTCCACCTTTTTTTTTTCTACTGATTGGATGTATTTTGAAAAGAATTATGTTTCACTCGTGTTTTTGTTTCTAATTATAATAATAGTATTTATTGTATAATCTTTGGTAGAATACAAAGAAAAATTACATGCATATATAGCATCGATAAATATGTAACATTCGTTTATGATAATAAACACGTGTAAGTGAATAATAACATGTATAATAATATATATAATAAGTGCTTAGGATATGATTAGGTTTGAATTATAAATTGCAATCTTGCTTGAGTTTTAAAGGAAATCAAGTTTGTACGAAAGAGATAATAATATTATAATTTTATCATTTTTAATAGTGTGATATCTCTCGAAACAATGTTCAACATGTGAATCTTCTTCCTTCGATATTACTACAGTTTCTACCGAGATAAAAATGAAATCTTTATAAAAATGAAAATTTAAAATGTATTGTTAATCCCTTTTGCTCCAAGGAACCTTGAAAAATATTATACGACATAATGTACTATATTACATCTTTATCTCGCTCCTTTCTTTCCTAATTACTTTAATAAATTTCACTGCGAAACAGAAAATACAATCGTATATCGCTATTCACAGTGATCAAATTTTGTTACAAACGCGCCAAAGCGAATAAGTTAATTATTCTGCCGTGAAAAAGAACAAAAAAAAAAAAGATAACTAAATCAACCTGA